GCCCAACCTTCCTTCTGAGGAGTGGCTGGTGGGTTTGAACCGCCAACCATCTGGTTAGCAGGCAAGTGTCTTAGCCACTATGCTACCAGAGCTCCTCCTAATTAATTATTAGTTTTATATAATTAGTCCTATATATTGTGCATTGTTTTCTTACCTATCTTGCTTCTTTTGAATTAATCAAATATTTTCCATTTTCTTATTCTATTACCTTTTAAAAAAGTCCTGGTGGTGCAGTGGTTAAAGCACTCAGCTGCTAACCAAAAGTCTGCAGTTTGGACTCACCAGCTGCTTGCAGATGAAGCAGTCTGTTTCTATAAAGATTAATAGCCTTGGAAAGCCTGTGGGGCAGATCGACTGTTCCATAAGGGTCATTATAAGTCAGAATCAACTCATTGGCAGTGGGTTATTAGCTTTTTAGTTATACCTTGCTTTACTATTCATTTAATCATTATCCTAGAGATTACAACATGCATCCTCCACTTAATAGAGGTGAATATAAATTAGTAGTTTTACTACTTCCCAAATAAGCTCAGACCTTACAACATTTTACCTTTATTTAGCCTACTCACACCTTTGTAATACTGCTGTCAGTAATGGAATCTTTTTCTATTTTAATTTTTTTAAGTCACCTTTTTAAAATACTTTAAATATTTTCCCATTTAAAGGTGGAAAACTTGAGAGTCTCTGAGCATCAATCTAGCCAATCAGTGCAACAGTTCCTGGAGGTCAAACAAATATGTTTATAATTCAATCATGTCATTGCTTTGAGCCTCAACTTAACACTGAGAGCCTTCTTGGTAGTTCTGATCTTGTTATACTCATTTTTTTATATTACATCATTTAATTTATATAAAATGCAAACATAATATACCTATGGTTAAAGAAACACAGGGCTCTGTATGGTGCTCAGTTAATTTAATAAAAATATTCTTTAAATTGAATTATACACATTTATCACTCTTAATTCATACCTTATGTTTTCCAAAGTTTGTCATAAGGGATCGTCCATGTGACTTCTTTCCACTTTCCTTTACATCTGGATTCTGAGTAAACAAAGGCAAAAAGTAAGTATTTTTAAATTTTAGAGGTTTGTTTTTTTTTTTTTCTTTTACCTCTGGTGGAGTGGCAGAGGGACCCATTCTACTTCCTGTGTCTAGGTGGGAGGCAAGCAGATCCTATTCATTACTACTGCTCCTCCTCCCCACTATTGCAACAGTGGTGGCTGGGAGCATTGGCACAGACAGGCCTGGGCATTAGCCAGGAATCAACAGCTTCTAAAAACATCTCAAAGATGATGTGAAGGGTCTCTCACCAACACCCAGCTGTACAAGTCCCTCACGGTGCTTGTTTAAGAGGCTATCCACACTCTGGGATGCTTTCTTTTGAATGCTGTGAATAAAGCCTTTTCAGGTAAGAGTAGATATAATCTTGGAAAACAGTCAAAAGACATCAATAGCCAATTCTGCTAAACAGAGTGATCACAATGTTGATGGAACATTGTTATTTGAAATATTTAAAATCCGAGCATATCTACAACATAGGAGCTCTGGTAGCATAGTGCCTAAGGCACTTGACTGCTCACCAGAAGGCTGGCGGTTCAAACCCACCAGCCACTCCTCGGAAGGAAGGTTGGGCAATCCTACCTCCGTAGTGATACTGCCTTGGAAACCCAAGGAGGGGTCGCTATGAGTCGGGGCCGACTCGACGGCAAAACAACAACAACAACAACAACATCTACAACATAATCGAATTGTGTGTGTGTGTTAAGTAAATCACAGCAAAGCTAATCTGTTAAGTAAAATGAATTCTTCTGTGGTGAGCACTGGCATCATTTAAATGGTAGCTCCTGAGTTCTCTCTCATGTGTGTTAATTTTCCAGGTTGGTGATCCCAGACCAACTCTTCTTGCTCAAGCCTACGTCTCATTAGAGGACAGAAGGCTATCCTGGTAAAGGGTTAAGAGTCTAGATCTTACTCAATTATCATCTCTAAAAATATGTATTAGGCAGTTCACTTCTACAGGCAAAGTATAAAGAGAACAGCAGGACTCCCAGCAAACCAGAGAAAACACAGAGACACCACATACATGGAATAAAATGCATGGAAGTAAAACCACATAAAACCAAAAGGTCAGAGGAAGGGATCCACACATGTCCATAGAGATTAATCTAAGTCACAATTGAGGTAAAAAAAAAAAAGGTAGAGAACTGGTTGGGGAAAGAGGCATTCTGGAAAATGCTGCAGGGGTATGCAGGAAGGGTTAGGGGCTCTTGAGGGTAGTGTAAGTTAACTGTTAACCAGTTTATATATGCTCATTGCCTTTAAGAAGCTATTCATGTTGATCATTAACTGTTCAAAAGTTCTGGAAATAAAAAGGTAGATAGATAGTCATTGGAGTACCATTGTTCTCTAAGCCACAATTTAGCTACATAATAATCCCCTTCTAATGGCTTCTGTTTTCTTACCTGAAATGGGGGAGAAATGGATCAATTAAACCCTGAGTTCATTTCCACTTTTAATAGTCTGTCTACAGGTAGGGAGAACACGTTGTTTATTGTCCAAGATAATGGCTACAGGAGCAGAGATGGGGAGAAGCCTATTGCTATTGATAAAATAATTTTAAGAAATTTCAAAATTATGTGATGAACTTTACAGCAGTAATGCTATAATGGACACTGTAGTTGTTTCCTAAATATTCTATTCTACTCCTCTAACATGGAGCTTGAGAAAGGCTGACTCTGGCATGATCTCTAGGCATAAAGTCTCATCAGCATTAGCAAACCAATATTATGCTATACCAAAAAAAAAAAAAAAAAAAAAACAGCACCTCACTGCCATTGAGTAGCTCCCAGCTCATAGTGATCCCTCCTCGGGCTTCTGAGGTAGTATCTCTATGGAAGGAGATTGCAATCTTTCTTCCCAGGAGTGGCTGGTGGGTGTGAACTGCCAGCCCTCTAGTTAGCAGTCAAATGCCTTAGGGACTATGCCACCAGAATGCCCATATATTATGCTATACTCTTGCTAAATAATTATTTCTGGAAGGACACTTACAACAACATAGTGATTAGTTTAAGGATGGACACATGATCTAAGTTGCCCAATCGGAACTAACCATGAACTCTGGTTTGCTGTTGGGGCAGATACACTGTCTCATTCTCATTGGATATGGACTATGAATCAGGTAGCCCACGGGCCTTTTGGCAATTACTCTGCAACTACCAAGGCAAGAGAAAACACACTTGGGATGACACTAATACTGTAGAAGGCAAAGCAGAAAGACAGAAAGGATTTGGCTCTTGAAGACACTACTGAGCTTCTGGATAAAGCCTACTGAATGTCACTCAGGAAATAAGCTGGCCACTTAACTAGCCCCAGCTCTTTCTTCCTCATTTAAGCCATTTTGAATTAGGTTTTCCATGTTTCCAAACTAAACAGACCTATGGAACAGATTAGTGGTTGAATGGCTGGATTTTGTAGAACTTAGAGAGTAATCACCAATACTAAAAGGTCATTTAGATGCAAGTGTGGCCACCTCATTTGATCTTCCTGCTGTCTGGGGAGCCTTGAACCCTGGAAAGCAAGTAGTAATAGCAGAGAAGGCTGTCATTAATGGAGCCAGTGACCACATGACCACACGGATCAACTCTGGGCCAGAATAAATGCCCTTAATACCCTATGGTGGTAAAAACAATAAACCCAATATCCCTCTTCTGTGCCCACTTTTTTATATTTTCATTAGGATGCAGTTAAAATCTCAGTGAGGGCCCAAATAATTCATTTGACAAATATTTTTGAAGGTCCTACTAAATCTCAAACAAGTACTGTACCTAGCACCAGAAAAATGTAATGGTGATGAAGGCTAATGAGGTTTCTTGTCCTCATGGAAGACATGTCATTGAACAAGTAATTGCAAATATGTTTGGGAAAATAAAAAATTTCAGAAAAGAGATAATGTAACAGGTTACCATAGACAATCAACAGACCAGACTCACTGTCATCGAGTCAAGGCAGATCTGACTCATAGCAACCCCTCCTTGGGTTCCTGAGGCAGTATCGCTACGGAAGTAGATTGCCCCATCTTCCTTCCAAGGATTGGCTGGTGGGTTTGAACTGCCAGCCTTCTGGTTAGCAGTCAAATGCCTTAGGCACTAGACTACAAGAGCTCTACCATAGACAATAGAAGAGGGATAATTAACATAATCCAGGGGTAAAGGCAGGACTCATTTAGGACATAGCATTGTCCTAAAATTTAATAGACACAGTAACAAGAAAAAGAAAAAGAAAAAAAACACCCAGATGCCGTCTAGTTGATTGTGACTAGTGGTGAACCTGTGTGTGCAGAGTAGAACTGTGCTCCACAGAGTTCTCAGTGCCTGTGACCTTTCAGAAGTAGCTATCCAGGCCTTTCTTCTGAGGAGGCTCTGAGTCGATTTGAATCACCAACCTTTTGGTTAGTAGCCAAGCATTTAACCACTCGTGCCACTCAACAACTTCTAAAAAATGAGTGAGAGTTAGATGAAGATGTAGGAATGGAATATTCCAGGCAGAGAGAAAAGAATGTGAGGAAGACTGTGCCATTTAAAGACTATTATGGCTGGCTGGAAGGTGGGATGACAGGAAAAATGGAGAGATCTGAGATGGGAGAGGTAGGCAAAAATAACTATGCAGGTCTTTGAAATCCTGGTTAAAGAGTTTAGAATTTATCCAAACCATAATGAGAAGCTACTGAAGAGTTTTAAATAGCAAAATGACATGATCAGAATTGCATTTTTAGAAAATCATGCAGATTTCAGGGTGGGGATAAGGTTGAAGGGGGGCAAAAGAAGTCGTTGAAGGGGAGCAAAAGAAGTCTAGGTAAAAGTTGACATTAGCCTAGATTGGGACACTGGCCATGGATAAGAAGAGAATTGGACAGATGGGGACACACATTCAGATAATGCAGGTGACTGAATGTGGGGAGAGTAGAGAGTGAAATGTATGGTGTGCTGGAACTTCCCCCCTCACATGAGCATTCCTTGGGATGGACTTTGTCTAGGGGATCCCAGTGAGGTCATATTTGAACCACTTCCTTCCCCCCCCCCACTCCATTCATTTTTAACTATTCCTCAGACCATTTGGAAAGAACAGAGTTTCCTTTCTCAAGCCACGTGAGGATAAAAAAGGGAAGAATCTGAAGGAGCATTTCATAAATGACAAATTATTAGAAACAATGCTTGAGGCGCTTTCTTTTGTTTTCTCAAAGGACAAGTACAGGAGGGAGTTCCATACCTGCTTCAGATGTACATTTAAGCCTTCATGAGTAGCCTTCAATAGTGCCCTCACTGTGAAACTATCAGGATCTTCTTTGTCTCGAATTTGAGATTCTCTTAACAGTGACTCCAGTTTTTTCCTTATGAAAGATTCTACCTGATGCTCAGTGGTTCCGTTATTCTGCAATGAATTAAAAAATGCAAATGATTTCCAAGAAGAAACACAGAGTCAATTAGAATAGACCCTTAATTCAAGCCAACATTGCTTCTATAGTTTGATTATCTCTCAAATTATAAAATGAAATTAAGCTCATTGTACCATTTTGATCCCCACTGCCAATCCCATAATAAAAATGGCTACAATTTATTAAGAACTCACTTCCCTGCCATCCAGTCTTCATGTGACTGCATTGAATCCTCAAGAACCTAATAAAGTCAATATTATCATTCTCATCTTAGAGATACAGAAATTAAGTAGCACAAGCTTACAAAGCTAATAAGCAACAGAGTCAGGATTCAAACCTGAGATTCCAAAGCCTTCCCATTATGCTACTTCATACTTTCAATACAGAGAAGGCCAACTTATAGACCAAGTTTTCTATGCCTACATAGGCAACCTTAAGCAAGAATATGTCATTTAAAAAAAAAAAAAAAAAAATCTTCTTTCACCAATGAGAAAAGAATGCTCTGGAAATCATCTCTGGAGTTGAGAATTATTCTGAGATAATATTTCTTTCCTGCTTCTGACCCACTGTGTAATCAGAAGGAACTCAATACTGACCAGCTATGATTTGTCATTATAATTACTTTAAGATTACAGCTAATTTCAAGGGTTTTGGATAACAAAGCTATGTCTGTCCAGGTTATGATTCATGGAATCCTTGTCAGATGATCTGGAGACAGAGATTTCCTTGAAATCTTGCCTAACAGTTTTTTTGGTCATGCTGCTCTGCCTGGAAACAACGGGCTCAAGCCTGCTCACTGCTCCTCTGCTTTTCAGCTCCCTTCAGCTCTCTCTGTGTCATACACTTCCCTGTGAATTCTTCAACTTCTTCCAAAACCCAGCCCAACCAAAAGCAAAGATGAATAATTACCATATCCATCACCAAAAGTTTATTCTACTTGTAAATTTGTCACAAAGAGATCATTTTATTTGTACCCTAAAGAACAAGTAGAAGTTTTCCAGTAATGCATTCATTTTCACAAAATTCTGTAAGAGCAAATCTATATGGGAGGTCTGGTAGTATAGTGCCTGTTCCGGTTACCTAGTACCACTCTGACAAGAATATACCACAAATGGGATGGCCTTAACAAATAGGAGTTTATTCTCTTACAGTTTGGAGGCTTTAAGTCCAAGTTCAAAGTGCCAGGCTCTAGGGACCAGGTAAAAGCCCCTCAACCTTGGGGTCCAGCTCTGCCTCCTGCTTCTGGCCCACTGGAGCTAGAGGCATTTCTTCACTCAGACATCTGCTAGCTGCTGAGGCTGAGAAACCCAAGGTTGACAAGTAAAAAGGTACAATCCTGATGTTACCAAACCACATGGCAGGCCATTTAAGTCCATGTAAGTCCCAAGGTTGGCATAGCATGGCAGGCTGCTGAGCAACGACACAGCTACATGCAGGGTCCAAGCGTGCCATAGGCTGGAGACCATTCCCCAAGGCTTCTGCTTATATACGGGAAGCAGACCACATTCCCTAAGGCAGCTACTCAGCTGCTTGTGGTAGATCCCACCATGGAGTTTATTGCCAGTCTCATCATGGGGAATACTACATCCAGCTGCCCAGACACTCAACCAGGCCTAACCAAGTTGACAAACAAACTTAACTACCACAGTGCCTAAGCCATTTGACTGCTAACCAGAGGCTGGTGATTCAAATCCACCAGCCACTCCTCGGAAGGACGGTTGGGCAATCTACTTCCTTGTGATACCACCTCGGAAACCCAAGGAGGGGTCGCTGCAAGAGGTAGGGTGTTTGCAGGTGAAAAGCCAGGCATAATGGCTCCCATTAGAAGCACTAAGGGTGTAGCTTCTGTGGTAACTGGGTGGTAAAGAGTGAGAGAGGGAAGGTAGCATTTAAGAAACAACTGGTGAGAAACATTAATAAGACAAAAACCCCACTCTTGCAGAACCCTCACTTTCATGGGAAAGATGACAGGCACATCAACAGATAATTATACAAGCAGATGGAAGCTGATTGACAGAGGTAATGGGTATTAAGGACTCACAGTGGCAACACCTAGTCTAGCCTTGGGAATTTGAGAGACTTCTGGCTACAGGTGACATCTAAGCCAAGTCTTAAAAGATGAATGTATTCATCTTTCCTAGGGCTGCCATAACAAATTACTATAAACTTGGTCTTAAAACAACAGAACTTTATTGTCTCACAGTTCTGGAAGTCAGAAGTCTGAAATCAAGGAGTCGGCGGGGCCACACTCCATCCAACAGCTCTAGGGAAGAATACTTTCTTGTGTTTTCCAGCTTCTGGTGGCTCCAGGCATTCCTTGGCTTGTGGCAGCATAACGCTAATGTCTGCTTCTGTCTTCACATTTGTCCTGTATGTCCACCCATATGTCTGTGTCTTCTTCTGACAAAGACATTTGTCATGAAATTAAGTCCCACCTGATTAATGTGAGATGACCTTATCCTGAGATCCTTAACTTAATTACTTCCACAAAGACCCTTTCTCTAAATGAAGTAACGTTCTCAGGTACTAAGAGTTAGGAGTTGCACAAATCCTTTTTGGAGCCACACTTCAACCCACTATAATAACAGCTAATAGCCAAGCAAAGGAGAGGAGACAGCATTTCAACATGAGAAGAAGCATGGATAAAACAAACTACCAGTAAGAACTTGTTCTTGTTGTTGTTGTTATGTGCCGTCGAGTCGGCCCCGACTCATAGCGACCCCTCCTTGGGTTTCCGAGGCAGTATCACTACGGAAGTAGGATTGCCCAACCTTCCTTCCAAGGAGTGGCTGGTGGGTTTGAACCGCCAGCCGTCTGGTTAGCAGGCAAGTGTCTTAGCCACTATGCTACCAGAGCTCCCCCAGTAAGAAATAGGGACTATATAAACATAGAGAAAAGAGTCACAGGGAAATACATAAAGAGCGGCTAAGAGTATATATTGCACATAAACCTCACAAAGTACTGTCACATAACAATATTTCATTTGAGCTGCCCAATAGCCTGTAAAGTAAGCACTAGGGTGAGCCCAGTCCTACATGTAAGGTCACAGAGACAGAAAGATTCAGCAACTTATTTGAACACACACACCTATGAAATGGCTGAATTGGACTTGAACCTAAGACTTTTGATTCTATAATCTGTGTCTATTTCATTATATAATGTTATAGTCATTCTATATTATTACAGGAAAAGAAAAATTACTAAGTCAAAGTCATCACCAGGCTCATATTTTAAACAACCGTTATTCCTATCATGATACCTGGGAATAAGTCCCCACAATCCCTCTGTGGACAACAGTCAGTAAGGTTTTAGTTGAGGTCAGAAGCAGATCCAAGAAAAGAACTCCAGGTCTCAAACTCCCAGGGCATTTGATCAAGTGAGCGACTGCCTGGCAGGGGGTGGATTTGTTGGGAGGACAAAAAGAAAAACTGTATAAGAACACCTAGTGTCCCCAGTGTCACACTGAATGCTCCAAATCAGCATTTCTTTCTTTCCTGGCTCAGGGCCTTACAAAGAGCCAGAGACAGTGAGGAGATGACCCGTGGCCATTATGCCAAGACATTTTCACTGACAACAAAGCATAGCTAGAAATATAAAGCCAGGGAAGACTGGAGCTGGTTAAATAATGAAGGCTTAATAAAAAGGCTATATTACTCACTTCATATCCTCTAAACTCTGGGAGTTGCTGAAAGAATGATATTTCTGCCTATTGGTCTTTTTTTTTCTCTGTGGTTTACAGAACAAGAAAATTAGCAGCTGTAGAGAACAAATAAATCTATGGCTGAAGTTTCATTAATATAGTCTCATTCGGTCCTGCAACCTGATAGCACTGGTGAAAGGAAATTGCACCGGACACTTGACCTATCATCGCCCTGTGAGGCACTGTGAATCTGCACTGGAGACCACAGCTGAAAGTCGCACGCATCTTGCTCTTTGATTCCTTGAGCCAGCGGGAGATAAAGGATGTTGCAGCTGAGGGGAGACGAGGCGCCATTTAATATGGTCAGTAGTAGCTTCCTCAGAGAAGCAATGGGATTCTCAATTTTCTTTTCTGCAAGGTAAATCTGAGCTAGGAATCTCTGCATCCCAGATAAATAAAACAAACACATTCTTGTTTTGTCTGCAGCATGAAACTAAGGTGTCACTGGAAAAACAGAGGGCTGTCCAGAAAAAAAGAGGGGAATTGGCTTGGGAGCTCTTCTAATAATGGTGCTATATTACAGGGGAGCTTTCAAAAATCCCAAGGTCCAGGACACATCCCAGATCAATGAAATCAGAATCTCTGGACTGGACCCAAGTATTAGAATATTGAAAATTCCCCAGTCATTACAATGTACAGCCAAAGTTGAGAACCTCTGCTTTAAAACCTTTAAAAACACTGGAGTATCTCACCATCCCAAAATGTCTTTTTTTGCTCTGAGCTAGAGCCTGGAGAGAGGAAGGATAATATACTAGCTGCCATTTGTGGGAGCTCTGGTGGTACAGTGCCTAAGGCATGTGACTGCTAACCAGAGGATAGAGGTTCAAACCCACTAGCCACTCCTTAGAAGGAAGACTGGGCAATCTACTTCTATACAGATACTGCCTTGGAAACCCAAGGAGGGGTCTATGAGTTGGATTCGACTCAACAACAGCAGTGAGTTTTTCTTTCTTTTCTTTTTTATTACAGCTTGCCAAGCCTGTTACCTACAGGTCTTGGGCTGAAGGAAAGGTACTTCCCACTCATTCCTGTGTGCGCAATTACTCCTGCTCTTTCTTGTCTCCTACCTGCTCCCTCAGCTCACTTAAAACATGTCCTTCTGTTCAAGGAGCAGCCCAGCACCTACATTAGTGATAATTGTGCTGCTACTCCAATGACTGTTATGAGTGAAAACAAATGTTTATTGAGCACAAATCATGTGCCAGGCACTGTTTTGGGTTTTTTACAGGGTATGAGTTTTCTTAGTCTTTACAATAACATTTTTTTTTTTTTTTCCATTTTGTTCCTTTAGTACCT